CTAAAGTTTGCTGTTGCTAAAGCTACCCTCTCCTTGCAGTTCACTTTCTGCCCATAGACTTCTGGTCCTGATGTTCTAAAGCAGCCTTTCTTAACCAGGGTGCCTTGACACCCTGGTGTGCCTCCTGGCCTCCTCAGTGGTGCCTCAAAATTTTGTGGTAGTGGGACTGTGATGTGAAGGAGGAATGAAGACGGGGGTGAAGGCGCACTCGATGTAAAGGGGGGACTCTGATGTGACTCTGATGTGAAGGGGAGGGGGAAATCTAGGTTTGAAGGAGGCAATGGGAAGTGCAAAACCCATTTTTTGTGTGTTTTTGCATGTGGTCCCCTTAAAGGAGAACTATAAGGTGAGTGCTTTTCACTCACCTCATAGTTCTAGCCGACCTGTGACAATGAGACTGTCACAGGTCGGCTCAGTAGATCAGGAGGTGAGCGAACACATACCAGGTTCGCTCGCCTCTTGATCCTGTCACAGCTCTCTGCCGTGACAGGGGGAGGGGCTGGATTCCCCTCTCCCCGCTCCGATCTGCCAGCGCTGACTGGCGGAACGGACAAGGGAGGGGCGGGTACAGCTGGCTCTGCCTCTAGATAGACAGAGACAGCTGGCACTCACGCAGCTGGGCGGATCCCGTCATCTAAGTCGTGATCCGCTCCGGCTGCGGCGTCTCAGTATACCGCGAGCTATAGCTCGCGGTATACTGAGCTTAGGGTAACGGGAGGACGCTAGTTTGTGTCCTCCCGTTACCCTAAGGAGAACTATAGGGAAAAACACTGACCCCATAGTTCTCCTTTAAAATCCATGACATTTCAGACTGGTGTGCCTTGAGATTTTGCATACTTTTAACCTCTTGCCGTCCGCCCGTAGTAAAAAAACGGACGGACGGCACTGCTACATCTGCGGGTTGCCGTCTCCAGACGGCAATTTTTTTCTGCTCGCGCGCGCCCCCTAGCGGGCACGCACGGGCAGAAAAGACCCGACGATTAAACACACCCGTTACCGCCGATCGCCTATATGTGCTCGTTCGCGATTGCTGATCTCCGTCCGGGCTGTGAATGCAGAAGTGATGTGTATTACATCACTTCCGCATTCACCTGTCAGTCATCTGGAGAGAGAAGAAGCTGATAAAGCAGATCTCTGCTTCATCAGCTTCTTTTGGGGTCCACAGGTGATATTAGGGGTCCTAGAGACCCCTAATATCTCCATAAAGAGGACCTGTCAGTGTGCCTTTGCTATTATATAGGGGGTTGTTATCCCCCTATATAATAGCAATAACAATAAGTGCAAAAAAATAAATATAAATAAAAAAAAATAAAAGTAACACATAAGAAAGTAACATAAAATAAAAGTCACATATAAAAAAGGGGAAAAAACCCCCCAAAGTACCGCAGCGCTGAATACTGAAAAATGGCCTGGATGGGAAGGGGGTTTAACACCGCGGATGTCAACTGGTTAAAGGGTGACGTGACTAAAAAAAGGTTGAGAAACTCTGTGCTGCAGTAGTCAGTTCCATATACTTGCCAGGCGGATGACTACTTTAGAACTGGAAGTCTGCAGGTAGTGCTTCAACTGTGGAGGGAAAGTGGATATTTAGCAGCATTTCCAGAAAACGATCAACAGAAGTAAGGGTTGATGCTGCTGCTTAGACTTTGAGGACCTCTTCTTTACTTATTAGTTTTATCATATATAGATCTATGTATAGATCTATATATCTATATAGATCTATACATAGATCTATATATATATTTATTTATACACATGCACACACACACATAAGTTTTTACACTATTTTGATCTATGAGTAACTACATACTGTATAGACCATTTAACTAAAGGGCCAATAGTTTAAAATAGCAAATATGCATATAAGCAAAACAGATATTCCCTGGTATCATGGTTTAGCACAGTGCATATAATACAAAATATATTTCTATACCTGAATAGGAGGACTAGTGCTTTTAGCTATTATGTAACAGTGTTAGACTATGTACAGGTATATAAATCACTGGTTACGCTTTTCTAAGCTCCCCAGCCCTGTAGAATAGCATTAGTCAATGCATTGTTTTCTGGCGGTTTGGATAATACAGTGTAAATATTTTTTTACTATATGAAGTCACGTTAATAATACTATATTAGCAAAACTGAATAAAAAAAATCTAAATATGCTGTACTATAATATGTTAAAGTCAGGGAAAACATTATTGGTTTGTTAGGGATTTTAAAGGCTTATTTAAAGGAGAACTATGGGGATAAGACTTTCCCCCATAGTTCTCCTTAGGGTAACGGGAGGACACAAACTAGCGTCCTCCCGTCACCCTAGGCTCAGTATACCGCAGCTGAAGCGGATCCCGACAATTATGTCTGGATCCACCCAGCAGTGTGACTGACAGCTGGCTCTGCCTACCTAGAGGCAGAGCCAGCTGTACCCGCCCCCTCCCCCGTCCGTTCCGCCAGTCAGCGCTGACGGATCGGAGCGGGAAGGGGGGAATCCAGCCCCTCCCCTGTCACGGCAGAGAGCCGTGACAGGATCGAGAGGTGAGCGAACGCTGGTATGTGTTCGCTCACCTCCCGATCTACTGAGCCGACCTGTGACAGTCTCATTGTCACAGGTCGGCTAGAACTATGAGGTGAGTGAAAAGCACTCCTCATAGTTCTCCTTTAAGATGAGAAAAGAAACCCATAGAAGCCAATCATATGACTTCCGACATCTTACTTCAGTATGCTGAAGTCTAATTAGCTGCTACCGGTTATTGCACTTTGTACGCCAGTCTTAAAAATGTTTAAAACCCATGTGAATACTATAAAAGTTAAGGGCTGCATCACTTAAACTATAATCCCTGTGGTTCAGATTATGTATGTTTCCCCCCTTAAAATGAAAACTCATCATGAGAAAAATATTGGGGCTGCAACTGCTGACCTCTCCTTACAATTCTGATTGCCTGACAGTCATGGTGACCATTTCTTTTTTTAATACTTTGACCTAGAACAACATGCTGATAAGGACTTTTGACCTCTTGCTGACTTGCCTGATCTACATACATCTTAGTGACTAATGGGTCAGTATAATTGTCAGTTAAGAAAGATGAATAGTCTCCTTAAAAACAGCCATTATACACATTAAAAACACACGTATGTATTTTCTAATGTATCTTGTATGAACAAGTCCCAAGAATATCTTCAGCTAAGCACAAAAACAGATTTAAGGATAATGACTTTTAAGTTCAACAAGTTGATGTTTATATCAGCACAAATGAAGCCTGAGCTTTTCAATTGGTTGGTTTCTAAAATGTCTACTCTTGCCATGAAAATATGTATTTATTCTGTAGCTGACAGCTAATTTCCAATGGCCTTAAAGCCCATTTCTACCTTTGCTGAGGTATTTTTGAAAGAAACATATTCCAGCAATGTACACCAGTGTACATGAAGCAGGCATATGCAGCTGCTGTATATGAACACAGAAACTTACATTTCTGTTAGCTTTCCTCCATCACCTAATGGAAATGGCTGCAATTGTGCTTTGCAAGTAATGTGTGTATAGTACAAGGGACCTGACCACCCCTACTCATTAGTATTCATAGTGGCAACCCCACCTCCCTGGACAGTGTATTGTGTGCATAGGCAGAGCTGCTGTTTAATGATCGTGTTACAATAAATAACAGGGAGGGGGAGAGCCATTTAGAGTCTACTTTACATCCGAACCCGATGTCAGACTGAGTTTCCTGTGGAGAAAATGTAATTTTGAATTTCTAGGCTTCAGGCCTAATAAAAATGTCATAAGAAAAAAAAGGAAGAAAGCCCACAATGTGAGTCATGAAAATGTACACACATATACATTATCACTGCACCTCTACATTACCACAATAAATTGTAATCACTTACAAAGGTGGAAATGGACTTTAAATAAATAATTCAGGAGATGTAGATGGGAGGCGCTGGATCCGCCATGACTTCACAGTGTGAAATAAAGTCTGCGCAGTTGTTCTGAAAAAACAGCTCTTGCACACAAAAGGGCCTTGTATAAAAGGTGGCTTTAGTGAGCTCCAGCGGTTTTGGTGAAACAGCAGCACACATAGACTTGGAGTCCAAAATTGTTATATCATCATGATAAATCCAAGGAAAAAAGCCAACACATTTCACAGTTTTGTACGGCACTCCCTTGGTCAGGGATTGAAGTACTATTTGGAATGAAAATTGGTGGACATGGAAGAAAAATGCAGAAGCTAAGTTGCCTCTTCTGCTGAAATGAGCTTCTGAGGTCTTCACAACCAACTGCTGAAGCTTGGTTCAATAGAAGGAACAATTCAACTCACGCGTCATTCCACCTTGTCCACGATTTTACATCCCAATGACTACTTCAAGCCGTGATGTGTTATTTCTGTGAGCTGAAGATTTTTTCAATGACAAGCTCACACTAAATATTAGCAAAATTAGTCTGCTGAATGGTCAACAATTGTTGAAACTGTCTTCTTGGTTTGGAAATTGATATATGGGTTACTAAGCCCTTTTTAACTATACAAATATTGTACAGTCTTGGCTTCTCATAAAACAGTAGTGATAATGCATGAAAAACATTGTAACCTATCCATATACTGCAGTTGTCTATTCTGAGGTTACCATATTGAGTGGAAAATGATACAAACTTGGCTTGGTATTATTTATAAAACTGGGTGATGTTTCAAGCAGTCCAGCCACATCATATATCCAGGTGGCCATACTTGCCAGCTCAGCCATAATATTAATTTACCTTGAGACTGAAAGCAAGTTTCCTAATGTACAATTAAGACTCAATTAAAAAAAAGGTAAGAACCATTCCTGAGAAACATCTGTTGTCGTGTAGATCTGAAGGTGATTATTCAAATAACAATAAACTAGAACTAATACAAATAATAAGCTATGTTTTTACATTTGATATAAATTAAAAAAGACCTTCAGGAATGTGGCATGCTGCCTAATTAAAAAAAAAGTAAAAAACATTTTTTTTTTATTTGAGGTTCTCACATTTTACCCTTGAATCAGTCACTGAGAAGCTCTTGCACAGTATGACATGTACACTTAAAATAAAGCAATTTAGCAGCAAGACCTTAAAACACCTCTCATGTTTCTACTGAGACATGGAAAATAGAGTTATAAGTATGTTGTTTTTGGTAGAACACATAGATCCAGAGAAAAGAGCTCTATCTCACTGTGATCTGTCATCGTTCCAGCCTTTTGCACACAGTTCTTTTAATATCAAACACTGGGCGAGTTAACTTAATGCAGGTGCAGTGTGCGGCATGAAAGAGACATCTTACTTCTATCCTTTCAAAGAATTGCTGCTCACTAGCATTCACTTGTCCTTTGACGTAAAATGAAATGATCACTTTCTTTGGCATTTTCCTCCTCATTTTCCTTTTCTGGACTTTTCTCCTCCAGCCCACTGTTTTCTGAATCAACTTCATCATCATCATCATCTTCTTTTTGTGTTTTAGGTTTCCCTTCAAGACTATTTCTAATGCCGTAAGCAAAGTAAATCACAAAGCCTAAAATAAAAAAAATAAAAAATTGGTTATATATATATGTGTATATTATATATATATA